CTGTAATTTTCAACTAGGCTTGGGTCTCCCTTTTTGAAGATGGGGATGACTGTGGCTTGTGACCATAGGTTAGGCAAGGAGCTGGTCCTGAAAGATTTTTCAAAGATTATGCTTAGAGGTTTGGCTATGGCAGTGGATAGCTTTCTTAAGAAGTAGGCACATATTCCATCCGGTCCAATAGATAGGGATGGTTTTAGATTGCGTAGTGATTTTTCAACATTGTCTTCAGTGAAATCGATATGTATTAGGTCATTGTTGTTATCTGTGGTACGGTTAGGAAATACTGGGCAAGATCCATTGCTGTTTACAAATACTGAGCCGAAGAATGTGTTAAAGATGTTGGCTTTAATGGTGTCGTCGTTGCAGTCTTTACCATCAGGTCCTATCAAGGGAGGGATGGACCTTGAGTCTTTTAGTTTGTTGTTTACAAACTAAAAAAAAAAAAAAAAAAGTTGTTTAGTTTGTTGTTTCTGCGATTGATGCAAGTGAGTGGGCTGGGTTTGAGATAAATTAAAACGAGGAGTTGTAAGACTTCCGTACCTTTTAAATAAAGTGGATGTGTTTCACGATTATAACCCTAAACTACTCAAGCTCCCCAGAATAATGCAGAACTACTTGGAGCATCTATTTCCCTGCCAAACTCACAAGTCCCTGCGCAGGACCTGAATATTTGGGTTGCCTACAGATTACGGATATCCACGGGAACTGACTCTATTCCTGTAGCTGTTCAAGGCTAATATTCTTAAAACAGTCCCATTCAGCCAAATGTATTAAATACATCTTAGTTCTATAAACTAAAAGACTTCGAGGCAGGAAAACTCACAACTTTGATGGGACAGGCAAAAGCAGCCGTGTTTAGAATATAGTCTGGATAGCCACATCTTGGCCAGAACCAAACATGCCAGATTCACCAGCCCTGCGTAGCCAGATGTAGCCATACAATATAGATTATGTCTGCTGTATCGTTTTGGATAAAAACATGTGTTTTTGAAAATGGGCAAACACCCACTTCTCAACCAGCCAATTTGTACAAACAGACTGGTGCTATCAGATTCAATCTTCTAGTTGTTCCCAGTGAAACATGGCAATGGATAGCATTTTTTAAATCAGAGTGATGACTTCTCCAAGAACCAGATCATTCCAGCTCACTAGTCAGGCAGCAGAAGTGTACCTTGCTTCAATAAGACTCAAAATGCCCTTGAATATCTTGTCCTGTTGCTCCTTAAGCAAGGAAAATTGATGTATGGTGTTTTGAATGGATCAAAATGTGTTGCCGTTGGATGATTTGGATCTTATTGCATCAAGACAATCTCTTCTTTAAGTGGGATGTTTGCAGAGTTTGGCTAGTTGACCACTTAAGGCAGGGGTGTTAAACTCACATTGTCACTGCGGCATCACATGATATCAGGACTTTTTCCCCCTTTGCTAAACCAGGTGTGGGCAGCACGTGACACATCCGGCCCGTGGGCCAGCAGTTTGACAGCCCTGACTTAAGGCATTATTGGAAGGAAAATCCATCTGGTTCAGTTCCAAGCTGGGAGAATGACACTGGAAACATGGTGTTCTGACCCAGCCTTCACGAGCCCCACTCAACAGCCTACTCGGTCAACGACTTGCAATTTGTATCTTTGTGTATTCACATTCTGTTCAAATTAATAATTTATGTAACATTATATAAAGTTCTATTTTCAGAAGGTTGCTTAACTCAGCTTTCTATAACAGTGCTTATAAGTAATTTAGAAATCTATCTTAGAGTCAATATGATGCTGAAATGTACTATTAGTTCTTATCCTTTTTTGTGCCGTGGACCACTTTTAGAGTCTGGTAAAACCTACAAACACCAATTATATTCAAATACAGTTATAAAAGTATAAAATAGATATAAATAAAATAAAGTTATAATTTTTCCCATCTAAATTTATAGATCCCCTGAAATCTATCCACAGACCGTCTCCAAGGAGTTTGTGGGCCCAGGTTAAGAAGAACCGTACACTCCTTGATGTGAATGAAATATGTGTCCTATATGTGAAAGAGTATGACAGCACATGCCTACCACTTAAAACCCTTGAAACTTTTTAATATTCCATGACTTTAAAATGCTTGAAATAACTTGGGCAAATATTTGTCTTTTTACCATCTCTAGAAACTTGTAATAGCAATCAATATCTCAATGTAATTTCAATTTCTAAAGATGAATTCAAAAGCATGAATTTATCTTTAGAGTTACTTTAGAGTTTTTCATTTTCACTGAAAAATGAAAACATGATCCTTGATTTCACTGATACTGGCTTTATAATTTTGAACAGCTATGGAACACGACATCCTATAGCATTTCAGTTTATTGCTTATTTGAAGAACATAAAAACATAACATTTGTTCAGTCTAACAAATGAAAGTTCTCAGCTTTAAAAGCTTCTAAAATTCTTCCAGCAGTCCAGCCTTGATTCTTCTAAAATAAAAGCTATAGAAAGACTATCATGACTTTGTCTCTTATTGCACGTTTTCTGAGCAAAACAATTCCCTCAGGTAGTGAATAATTCTGCTGGTTTAAATATATCCATCTCTTCAAAACAATATTCAACTTTGGAGAAACTGGAAACTTTTGGCTCCTGACTTTCTCATTTTTAATTACTGCAGGTTAAGCATGTAGATAAATACAAGGCATGTCAAAACGAAATTTTAAAGAATTAGGGATTTAATTGTAAACCCGAATATATTTTGTAAAAGGGCTGTAAAGAAGCACCAACCTGGTTTCAATTGAATAAAGTATATGATACAAAGTGTATGAGTAAGGGCTTTTAATATTTTAAAAATAGTATGCATTTAATAATAAGGAACTGTCAAAAATGTAATATAAAAATCTTAGGCTGCTTTTGAGAGTCTAAGTATGCAGGATAATTTGGGTACTAAACCTAATGAATCTCATCAAACTTTCTTGTGGCAAGCAAATTCCTTTTACAGTAAATTATTTTAGCAAGTCCCCATGAATCTATATACTATTTAAACTGTTTGTCTATGTATGAGCTTTACCTGTGTGAAATGGTCAAAAAAAATTGAATGCACCTCAAATGGGCTAGCTTACAAATGCATGCAAAATCTGGAACCCATGTCTCCCATGGAATTGAAATTTGGCAAATTTTATAAAATATTTTATGACATAAATATTATCATAAAACATTTTATGACATAAACTGAATTTGCTGTGGTTAATTGATTAGTTTTGATAATACAAATGTCATTGTAGACAGCTTTATTGAACGTGGATGTTTAAAATGTATTTTTTTTAATGATTGTCATTTTGAATATATTTGCATTTGTTGGACTTTTTAAAAGTTTGTATTGTTTTTATTCTGTGTTGCAAAATAAAAATACATCTTTTCTTATATGTGTTTACCATAATTTTTTATTTTCATTTCTGTTATTTACATTTGTGTATATTTTGTTGCATAGTTTTACAAAACCAAAACATAGCAAAGTTTGTGTACATCCTGTTCCACAGACTTGCAAAAACAATACACCAATATGGCTGACTTTTGAAATAAATATTTAGGCCACTAGATGGCAGGGCTCCTTTGATTTCTGTTTAGCTTTATAACAGGTGCCCTTCCAGTTCTGCATTCTTGCTTAACTTTCTTCTTCACATTTTAACTCTGGTCTGTGTTTTAAAGGTAATAGTTTCTTCCCCCATAACCGAGCACTAGCTGTTCCTATTATGTATCCTGCAAAAAATTATACCATATGTGCAGTAGTTCCTTTCGTTGCAGTAATTTCAGGCTGCATTTCTGAGCTCCAATGAACATAAAATTCTTCCAAATGAATTCCAGCCATTATTACTGCAAATAGAGAAAAACAAGACTATATCTAGCCTAGTTTTACAAAATCAGCCACTACATTTCCAAAATACATGGCGTTAGGATTCGATTTTTTTAAAAAAGAAGAAAAGCAAAAAAAAGCTGAACATTCCTTTTATTTCCTTGCATTTTTTTCTAAGCTAAATTATTGTAGGTTATCATTTGTTCTGAAACAAGGTGATTTTTAAAAAAGAAAAAATATAGCATAATATTTGGCACTAACATTTAAAATAATTACCATAGTGAACCCATAGAAACATACAGCTTGTCACAATTTCAAAACAGTCAAAATATCCCAGTTACAATCCCATTAAATGCAAGAAGTAATGTCACACAGGATAGGAAAGTTTTGCATGGCCAGTTGAATGTTTTGGCCAGTTGAATATTTTGAATGTTTTGTAGAAGACCTAACTTTTGTACTGGCAATCTTACTGCTTGATTTGTTTACTAAATTTAAACAGCTCATGTTATGTTAAATGGGTTTTTCAATTTTTATGTTTAGATGTTTCAATTTTGTTATTTGTGTGTTAATAAATAAATAAACAATTATAACTGAAGCTGAAGTATACCTTTCCACAGCCTGATCTCCCAGATATATTGTGTATCAGTACTTAACATCTACAGCCTTAAATAGTATGAAGGAATAGCCTCAAAATACATTGGAATTGGTATGAGTTGTTATATTCAAGAAACTATTATAACTTAAAACAAATTATCTCAAATCGTTCCTAGATAGTTTCAGAAATATATTTAAGGAAATTAAAGTGGGATGTGAAATAAAAATTCTGTAATGCTTTTTTTCTACGTCAAAACAAAGTTATCAAAATATAGAATTTTCATACTTGTAATACAAAACAGCATTCTTTTGACTGGTGTGAAAACACTGGCATCTGGAATAATGCTCTTGATAGTGTGCTATTGGTGATGTTGATAATGCAGTGCTTGTGGTGCTGTGCAGCAAGCTCATACATGAAATACGCATTGTGGTATACACTAAGGTGATGCACATTTTACTGCACCTGTTCTCCTGGACCCACCCAGCAGGGTGACTCACGATTAAGAAGACCAGAACTCTGAGCATTTAGCATCTGCACTAAGAGGTCTGTAGCTAAGGTGTGGGAAGGTTCCTCAAATCCAATTGTTAGGAGCTGCTGGTAATCCCCTGTGGGCTGGTGACACAATACCCTGTGTGAAGAAAAAAGAAGTCAGAGATGTTCTGGATTTGGGACAGAAACGGCATTGCTCGTACTTTTGGATGATCTCTGGCGGGAACGGGATAGTGCATCCATCCTTGCTTTACTTGACCTCTTGGCAACTTTTGATACCATTGACCATGGAATTCTCCTGGGATGGCTTCGGGGGATAGGAGTGGGAGGCCTTGTGTTGTCCTGGTTCACTTCCTTCCTCTGCGGCCACTCTCAGTGTTGATAGGAGGGGAGAGATCCAGCCCTTGCCCACTGCTTTATGGGGTTCCGTAGGGCTCAGTACTCTCTCCGCTCCTGTTCAACATTTCTATGAAGCTGCTGGGTGAGATCATCCATCACCATGGACTGAGGTATCACCAATATACTGATGATACTCAGTGTATGTCTCGGCCCATGATGAGTTAAGTGTTGCTGTGTCCTCCCACTCACAGTGAGGCTATTAGCATGGAAGCTATTGGGCTGGATGGGGAGCAATGGGTTGAAGCTAAACCCTTGCAAGACTGAGTGGCTCTGGGTTTGGGGTTTGTTGGCTCAAGGAGAATTGCCCCCTTCAGTCTTGAATGGGGTGGCACTACCCCAAACAGACCCTCTGCGTAATCTAGGGGTTTTCCTGGATTCACGACTCCTGCTCAAAGAGCAGGTAGCAGACGTGGCCAGGAGGGCCTTTGCACAACTGCGAGTTGTGCACCAGTTACGCCCTTTCCTAGACCAGTGGTCCCTACTCACAGTCACTCATGCCCTAGTCACTTCCCGTGTTGAGTGTTGCAACACGCTCTACAGGGGGCTGCCCTTGAAGAACATCCAGAAGCTCCAGATGGTGCAAAATGCAGCGGCCCGCATGGTTTTGTGCAGACCCCGGTGTGCACATGTTTTAGCTCTCCTGTGGGAGCTGCATTGTTTGCCGATTTGCTTCCTGGGTGCAATACAGGGTGCTGGTTGTCACCTTTAAAGCCCTTCATGCTTGGGATCAAGTTATCTGAGGGAACGTCTCTTGCCAGTTACATCTACCCGATCCATTAGAACGGGGAGTCAGGGAATGTTGCAAGTCCCATCCCTGAGGGAGATACACCTGGTGAGACCCAGAAGAAAGACCTTCTTCGTGGTAGCTCCCTCTCTCTGGAATATGATTCCCCCAGAGATTAGAATGGCCCCCACTCTAATACTCTTCTGGAAGGCACTGTAAACCTGGTTTTGCCAGTGGGCCTGGGGAACCCAGAGCAGGATGGAACCCATCAAATGGCTCGTGTGATCTGCTGTCATCGGGGTGAGGGGTGAGATTTGGGGGGGTGATTATTTTTTCCCAAGATTTTTGTTCTATTGTACTTTATTAATTTATTTGATTCTTTTTGTTAGTTTTTATTGTTGTTGTTTTGTTTTAAAAATGGTTTTACATTCTGTAAGCCGCCTCGAGTCACCCTGGGCGAATAGGCAGCATTATAAATTCAATAAATAAATAAATTATAGCCTCCATCCTATCCATGTTAATGCTCTGGAAATCATGTCTCCTTGTTTAATAATTAGGCATTCTTAGGGCATTCCTGTAGAATGCTTTAGAACAGGGGTTGCCAACCTTTTGGACCTCAGGGACCACCAAACTCATAATTTTAAATTTAGCAGGCAAGTTTGCCAGGTAAGGAGTGAGTGGGCAGGGAGGGTTCCCATGAGCCATGTGGGTGGTGCAGCCTTGTGTTTCTGCGCAGCCTGGATTAATTGCTTTGTGGAGGTGCTCTGGGGGTGAGATTTCTCTGCGGCCCACCAAAATTTTCTCACGGCCCACCAGTTGGCGACCACTGTTAGGAATATGTCACCTAACAGTTATTTGGGTTGGAAATATATAAACCAGGATAGACATTTTAATACTGTATCTTTAAGAAAATGCAAAAACTGTAATTGGATGTGGTTTCTCAAATGGCCATAAGATGGAGCCAGAAACCTGGGTTGTTAGGAGTGTGTGTTTGAGTCTCTATTCCTTCAGTTGGAGAGTATTGCCGTTCCTCCTAATTGACTGTTATTCTTGGATTTGATGTAAGTCTGTTACTGAACTGTTTTTGATACTGGACTTTATTATTGGATTATCCCTGGATTGAAAACTGACTGATTTAACCATGAATGACTTGGACTATGTTTGAACTTTGCTTAAACGTTTTATTGGAAGTAAAAACCTACATTTACTGTACAGTGTATCTTTGTGCTGTTTGTATATTATTCTTCACTACTCTCACTACGTCTCCCTGTACGCGTTCATTCTCCTAATGGGGAATTACCTCAACAACCACTGCTTTAGAAGTACATGGCAAGTATACTTGCATAAAATAAATCTGGCACTAAGTTATGTTGCATATTTGTTTTCTCAAAAGTTGGGTGTACACAGATGAAAATCAATTTACATTGTATTTTCAAGCATACGTTTGCTCTGTTCTATTTCTCATAGATACTTTGGATGAACAGCATGTCTTATTTTTGTATGTATGTTTAAAACACTATGCATGTGTGAATTTCCTGCTTTTTTAATAAATAGAAAAATAATGGAAAAATAAGATAGAAAGCATAGGTGGTTTACACTTGGAAGACTACCATCCTTTTGGAGGCAACAGAATAAAAGTGTTCTCTGGAAGCATCAGATTTCTATTATAAAACTATCTTTTCCCAGAGATAGGTATATAGTCAGTATTTATCTTTTTACATTTTGAGTTTGAATCTTCAGAAGTGCTTCTTTGTATATGTATTTCAGAAAGGGCTTTTTGTTGACTGTCAGTCACCAGTCACAGTATTGAATTCAGTCATAATATTGAATCAAGCAGATGGCATCATCTACATTTGTTTTTACCACAATAAAAATGAGTGGGAAGTTACAGCACACACTCACACACAGAATCAATTTTGTCCCACGCACTTCAACTACATCCCACATTATATAAAGAGGAAACTGTTTTAGATAAAAAATTGCAATAATGCTGTGATGTGCAATACTCTAAATTTCCAGTATAGAATTCTTATTCTGAAGAATTATGAATGCATTATTCATTTCCCATTAGAATGTTTTGTTGATGCCAAACACAATGCAAACTATTTCAAGTATCATTTTACTATATATAAATCACAGATAGATAAATATATGTGTGTGTTCCTTTAACAAATTTGGAAGCATTAATATACATAGATAAAGTACTGTTTCTGAGCATAATCTTGGTAGGAACATAGCTACCAAGGGCAAGTAGCAATGATGGAGCATTCCAATGATGGAATGATGGCCCATCTATGCTATTTTCAAAAATGATTCATGAATGCATGAGTGACTAGTACAATTGTATTATGTTGTTTTATCAAGTTTATCCTTTACGAAAAGTATTGGAGATTGGAGATAATGTATTTGAATACAAAATTATGGATCTGTTATCTAAATCTTAATAAGAAATGAACAATTAGAGAAGATACATGAGACAATTAGCAACAACACATTCAAAGGAATAAAATTCACAAGAGAAGAAGAAAATAACAACACATTACCCTTCCTGGCTGTCCTCATCAGCATAGAAAATGATGGCAAATTAGAAACCTACTAAATCTGTCAGGTCTGCCATCTCCAGCTTCTTCACTTTGCTGGCATCCTGCCATAAATTGTAACAGAGGGGGAAGGAATTTGGGGTAGTAAAATATGGGCCTGGGAGGGGAAACACATTGACCAGAACCAGAGGTGCCAAACCAAAATAAACCAGCCTCCAAGGACACCTGGCCTGGGAACTGAATGTGAAAGAACATTGAGAGGCGCCAAGCCGTTCCCAAAACATAACGGCATCTTATTGGACACTGATGCACTGGTTGGCAGGGGAGGGCTGGGGAAAGTGTAACCTTTGCATGGGAATATTCAGATCTAGCTTTACATTTGTTGCAACCACTTAACTCTAGTGAAAGAACATATCACTTCACCAAATGGAGTTGAGGGTCCTTCTTTCCTAAATATCTATGTTGGGACAGGTCTGACAAAATCGTTTGAAACACTACCAATACTAATTAACTATTCTTCTACCAAAGCATCAACCCAAAGCAATTCCCTCAAGAGAAGTTGTATATGAATATTATTTAGATAAGTACAAATTCACTGCAGCGACCCGGTATGCCAGTAAGAAGAAGCAGATCACCTGGACAACATCTTCTAACTGAAGACTCAGGCAATTGTATCACAAAGTCCCTGACCAGACAACATATTGCAGCACAATCTATGAAAAGGATAACACTCCTGAATATATATATATATAAAAAAACCATCTTGGAGACAACCAACAGAATACTACAACCACTTCATATCACAATAGCACACAAATCAATTAAAGTCCTTCAAAAATCTTAAGTAAACCAAGAGCCTAAGAAGAAAAAGGTAGGTAGCCTAAGAAGAAAAAACAGGACTCATCTACAATATACAATGTAAGGACTGTAACAGCCACTGTGTAAGGCATACTGGCAGAAGGTTAGCAGAGCACATCCATGAACACCAACTAGCACTCAGAAGGCATGACAAAAGCTCCTTAATCTCACAACACATGAACAAATTCAACCACCGTTTCAACTGAGAAACTATTTGCATTTTTTTCTTCAATTTAATCAGATTTTTGGAGAAATTCCTGCAGTTTTCTTGATAAGGTTTTCTAGAAATAGTTTGCCATTGCTTCCTTCCTGGGTCTAAAGAAAATGACTGACCCAGATCATCCAGTTGCTCAAAGTGGGACTAGAATTCACAGTATCCCAGTTTCTAGCCTGATGCTTTAACCATTACACCATTACATTAAGTCAGTCCGTATAAGTGTTATGTCAATGGCCTATCCCTAGGTCTGCACACCTACCAGGATAGCACATCAGAACTGTGTTCACTGTCAGGATCTATAGGCACCCAGCGTCCTATGGACCAAAGCTTCTGCATTTTCACAGTTGTTTCATCTCCTGTATCACGGAAGCATAGGAAGTAGCTACAACACAAAGATTGCATGGAAGCAGTGAAATGGTTGGCTGATCAAACAGTCTCTGGGAAACTCAAGAAATAAACATTAGTTAAGACCAAAGAAAAACTTACATTGATATAACATGGAGTAGCTTTGAAGTGACACCATTCTTTCATCACCAGAAGTATGGAAAGGGAGATGTATTGTTAAATGATCTGTCTAGCCAAGTCATATCCACTCTCGCCATATACCTCACTGCTGGATGAGATCATCCAACATCATGGGATGAGATATCAGTAGGCAGCTCTGCATCTCCATTCCCAATGATCCAAATGATGCTGTGGCTGCCCTTTTGCAATGCATGCAGGGTGTGGGTGTCTTAATGGGGGACAACAAGTTACAGCTGAACTCTGATAAAATGAAGTGCTGTAGGTTCAAGGAGCCTTGGGATCTGGTTGTTTATCATCTTTAGTTCTGGATGGGAATTTTCCCAGATAGACCTGGTATACAACCTAGCAATTCTTCTACACTCATGACTTCTGCTCAAAGAGCACATGACAGTCATGGCTAGAAGGACACTTCCACAACTTCATATTGTGAATAAGTCATGCCTTTATCTGGATTATGAGACTCCGTGCAAGTCACTCATGCCCTGGCTATCTCTCGGTTGGATTGCTGTAATGCATTCCACATGAGGCTACCCTTGGAAGCTATAGATAGACTGGAATGCAGCAGCACAGATAGCTCTGGGGGCCCTAGAGTGGCACATATAATATCACTGTGACATCAGCTGCAGTTTACTTTTGGGTCCAATTCAAGGTATTGGTTTTTACCTTTAAAGCATGGATCCAGGGTATCAGAGGAGCTACCTTGCCCTAATGGGACTTGCCTACTCTATTCACTCCAGCAGAAGGAGCCTATCGCAGACCCCACCTGCTAAATAATCTCAGATGGTGGGCTCAAGGAGAACAGCCTTTTCTGCTGTGACCCCACCACATTCTATCACTGGAGGCAGGAACTGCTCCCACCTTTTAAGCCTTCCAGAAGGGAATCAAAACCTGGTTTTGCCAGTTGGCTTGGGGCCTTGAAGAGGTGCTCACTACTGGAGATAGTTGATGGGGTAAGGTGAAGATCTCATCTCTGTGCTGTCCATCTTCTTGGTTCTAGTTTCTTATACAGCTTTTTAAAACTTTAATTGCTTGTATATTTATCTTTTTACTTTTTGCAAGCCACCCAAAGTGGCTCTATTAGTGAGATGGGTAGCATGTAGATTTAATAAAAATAAATAAATATCCTCAGTATATCCAGCAACTCACTATTCTGTCCGGAGTGTTTGATTCCGAGCAGCAGACCCCTCCAAGATGTCAAGATTCCAGCGCATCTTCTTATAAAGATTGTGGGGAACATGAGCAGCTGTGTATGGTGCTGAGATGCAATATCGAAAGATGGAAACTTGCCGAGTCTCATTCATCCAAAATTTCCCACAGAAGAAACATGATACACTGGTGGAGATTTTGAGACAAATACGGAGTGACAGATGTGTTTATGCATGTAAGTAAGAAGAAAGTTGAGACAACAGGGCAGATTCAAAACCAACAGCAATTTCCTCTTGCTTGCACAAAAATAAATAAATCAGTAACTTTTGGAGAAAAATTATGAATGTGAATCTAAATTATCAAAACACAATGGAACCTTAAGCTTCCTTTCAGTATTCCTAAAAATGGGATAGGATCATCCTAGATTTAGACATTTTTAAAAAGAATCTTTAAGTAAACTTTAAAAAGCTACTCAATTTTCTGTCTGTTAACAGTACTTCAGAGAGCAAAAATACACCAAAAATAAATGTGTGCTTTGTGGCATATGCCAAGTCTTGGTTTTATCTGAAATAATATTTTTTTCCAATTCTACACATTTGAATGATTAGCAAAGATCACTTCTGAAACATTTTTGTCTCACCTTGTATCATCTTGCATTGACTAATTTGTTTTAACAGTTTTTATTTATTTTAATTTTTATTTATATGAATGTTTGTTATTCCTGTTTTGACTTGCATGCTGCCCAAAGTCACATAAGTGTGAGGGACATTTATACAAACTGAAATGAATAAATAAATAACTCAATCACACCATGTACATAGAGCTAACCTTTTCCCAGTGAGTTCTTTGTACCTGAATGGGTCTGTGTCTTCAAGAGAAACAAAGCTGAAGGAAGCGTACATCAGCACCAGTTGCTCAAGCTGGCAAGCCAATTGCTGAGAAATTTCCAGAAGCTGTGGCAAGTGGAAAAACAAATATTTTGAGACTGGAAGCTAAAAACCGAGGCCTTGAACAATGTCAGGCAAATCCTTGAGACCAGGCTAATCCCCAATATTTATTCTGCTAACTCAGTTCTGTTCTTCCATTAGCTAAAACTTGGTTTGAGGCTTCAGGGGGTGGGGGTGGGAATGTTACAGCCAAATTCCTCATAGCTGAAATCGAAGAGATACACTGAGGCTGGGGTATTTCTTACTGCCTCCTTCCGTCTCAGCAAGAGGAAAAAGCACAGCTTTCAACTACAAAAAAAGATGAAACAGTGAGGAAGAAATGTGTCTCCTCCTTTTTCTGTTCTGCCACAGACCTTCCATTGCTTACTCTGAATTAGACAGCAAGATCTGAGTATTGTGAGACTGGACAGCTTTCAGTATTTCCAACCAAAAAGACATTGTGCAGTTGTTCTGTCTTATCTTCCCAATCATTAATTTTATAGTGAAAAAAAAGTGCTAGGAGAAAGGAAGTGGGTTACAAATGGAGGATGTCATGATCCAAATACGCATTCTTTGAATAAAAGCCTATTTTAGCATTGTCCAACATTGGAGGACTGTGAGGGTTTCCACAGACAAGCAACACATATTGCTGAAACATTGCTAATAGAGTAGCAAATGTCACTGGGTTAGCATAGGGAGGTCTATTCTGGTCATCCTATAAGCACGTTGCTAAGTTCTGTGCCCAGCTGTAGGTGGAGAAACCTGGAGCATTTCCTGTCAAAAAAAATGATAGGAACTGAATGTGCCATGGTTCAGGGTTTGTAAATTCAAACTTATCTTCTTTCAGAGAGGAGGATAATCCTTTATAATGGTTTGCTTCCTCCCTAAACACACACACACACACACACAGGATCTGTCTACTTCTCATCTTTTGCTCCTCAAGAACCTCAAAGTTGTCCTCTGAAAGGGAAGAAGCAGGGAAGTGTGAGCGTATGAACTGTGAACCATTCTTTGGCAATCTTGATAGGCATTGTCAAGCAGTTCTTCGAATGAGGAAGCACCCTTTGCAAGTGTCCCCATATTGTAGACTCCTTGCAGTGCAGAAGTGATACAAGGAAGGCTTGCTGGGGTATGGAGGAAAAACAACAATAGGAGGGATGGAGAAGTGAAAAGAAAATACTTCTCTAGAAAAGACAGAACGATCACCTTTAAGGACAACTGAAGCATTGCAAAACCCCGAGTTATTAGAACGATGTGAGAAATGTCGCAGGTTTCGAGGAAACTGTAGACTTTCTGCAGCAAGAAAATGATGAAGGAGGACACCTAAATATTAAGCTGTAAGCTGAATAATAACTAAAGGAAACAATCTGTAGTGTATTTAAGTAGAGACTTCTAGGGCGATGTTTCTATTGGTTAACAGAAGCAACGATACGATTGGTTAGTAACATTAGTACCTGATTGGCCGCCAATAGCAGCGGGAAGTTTAACTAAATGTCATTGGTTGCGAGCCATGGAGCAGCCGCTATAAAAAGGGCTGCTGCGGTTCGACTGCAGTTGAAGTTACTGTTATTATTAAAGAGCTGAATTCAACCCCGGTCTGCGAGTCTCTTTACTGGCGACAGAACACAATCAGTGTATTTTGTGGGAATGGTCATCTGTGGTAATCTGAGTATATCTGCCTTTTATGGATCTGGGAATCTAACATGCCCACATTGAGAGGCATGTGTAACCTTCTCCACCTAACCTAGAGCATTTTCAAACAGAGCGTTTGCGCTGATTCAGAACCACGTCCAGATTTGTACCATTGAACGGTATTGTCTGGTTTTGAGAGAGAAGTCCCACCCCTGCTCCTGAATAGTTAGTGGGAACTTGAGATTTATCCTTTCCTGTATTCCCCATATCAATCTGCTACTATTTCACCTTTGGAGACTTTGGTTAAATGTAAAAAGGAATCATTTGTGGGGGGAGGTGTATGTGGATATTTACAAATCACCTTCCTTCATACTGCTTTCCCTCATAGTAATATGGATTTGGGGAGGAATAGTAGCAAATTATTTCCTTTTTCAGCTGCAGTGGGTAGGACAGGATTCTTGTTAGTCCACGGCCCGTAGCGAAGTAAGGGATGGAACATTTATTGAACAATGCTCTTTGTACTCCCCTACTTATTGGCTGAAAAGAACACTGAATGCTCATGGTAATCTCTGCACATTTTCAGCACTTGGGAGATGTGAACATGATTGCAGGTATCCGTCCAATAACTTTCAAAATATTGAAAACTGGGGAAGTGACCCATTAGGTTTACCAACTATCCTGTTACATCGATCAGCTCAGTTTAGTGTCACTTTCTTTGTTTTAGCCAATTTATCTTGAAATGTTCCCTTCTAATATATTTATATAGTTTCCTTAAGATAAGAGTTTGGGTCTGTTTTAGGTATTTTTTTGTGAAAGACAAATGTAAGAACTATGATAAAAATGATAAATACTTTGATGGATAGAGTTGAAATTACATTGTAATTTTGGTACTGCAGACAAGAAGCATCTAATTATAGACACAGTATAACTGAAACGTCTGGAATGAATCTCAATTACCCTCCACAAACTAAAGAAATCAGAATTTTGAAGAGTTTTTCTATTTTGGAACCTATTTCTCCTCCCCGTCCGTCATTCTCAAGTTAATCCCATAAAGAGGCAGGGTAGTCCTCTCTGATTTCCCCCCACCCGCAAACTGGATGGAACAGGAACAAGGACTTCAATGGGAACACTCACTCTTTTCCGGACTTGCTCCTGTGGAGGTCTTAAATAAGGTGTGCAGCTGCGTGCTGTCGATTCCAAATAGTGGAAATATGGCTGGCACATCTGCAAGAAGGTGGGCATGGCTTTGGCAAACTGTTCCTTCTGCATTCTGTCTCTGCTGAAAATAGGAGAGCACTACGTCAAGGAGAGCACCCTGTCTTTGCTCCCTGCTCAGCACTGTGACACACCTGCTAGTGCTGCTAGTGCTACTACACACACATACACACACTACACATGGGACATGTATATGCTGCCCTTAGGGAATACTGTAGCAACAACTCCAGGCTGGGTTCAAAATGTGGAAGATTCCTCTTTTTAACCGAGGTATAGCAAAGAGCTTGGTAGAAGAATCTATGGATATTGCTGCCTTTGGGCACCAGGATGCCTACTGGAATCAGCAAGGAATCAATTATGCAGGGCCTTGCAGACTATCCTAATGGGAAAAACAATACAGAAATTCTCTTTCATATCTGAATTCCTGCCTTATCTTGTTCAATGCGTTCCCAGCCTGTTTGATATTACTCTTTGAAACAAACTATATAACAATAACTATTAAAGATGTTTAGAAGAACAGAATTTAGCATGTTCAATTCATGATTTATCCTATTCTGAGGAAGGGGTCTAAAAATAAGAGAAAACTCTGGGACAAGGTAAAAAGTAATGGATAACTTTGCATTATTAAGGGTTCCCTTCTGTATTACCAATCAGAAACCAAAAATTCAAATCATGACAGATGCCCAAACAAAAAGTAGGATTAGATCTGAGTTTTTTTCTTAATTAATTTTGAAGACCCAGGCCCTTTCCCTCTGTTGAGCTACTTTTTAATGTCCTTGATTTGGTAATAAACTACACATGTTGTGGGGATGGAAGTATCAAAACAGTTATGTTAGCAGTCATAATCGTATCACTAAAGTCAGCTAGCCCTTTATAAAATATATGAGACAGATACATAAGAAAGAGATAGGACCTAGATTACATGGTTGATTTTTTTTTTACCTACATGGATGCTCCTGTATATCAGCAAGAAATTTGCTATCTCCATTGCCAATTGCTGTATCTTGCCTTTGCTGTTTGTGACCTGATCTCCTCCAAGTTAATGGGTGACAGAAGTTTAAGTATCCTGAGGCTACCCTTGGATAGTGTTGGAGTAAGTGCAAAAACGTTTTAACTCTAGTACAGCAAAGGATGACTTATCCTTATATTAGTCATAAACTGGGGATTAAGTGAAAGAAACATCACGGAGAAAGAAATGCGTACTGAACAAGCTCACAAGAAGGCCAAGATCTTCTGATCGGTCATATTTCTTGAAGTTAGCAAGCCATGTTCAAACCATCTCAGCAACTGGTATTTCAAGAAAAGCCCTACACAGAGAAAAAGCATTCAGGACTCATTGTATTTCTCCTTCCTGTCTGTGAGAAGAAGAGCTGCTGGGCAGATTGAAAGCACTTGTGCTCCTTCCTTCCTTCTGGATGTCTTTCCCACCATGAGGACAGCACAATTTGCCAATACAGCAGCAGTTCTGCTGAAAAGAACAACCAAAATATTGCAGTGCAATAGAGAAATATGAACTATATCAATATGTGTGTGTGTGTGTGTGTGTGTGTGTGTGTGTGTATATATATATATATATTTGTTTTCTGAGGTTCTCGCGGGTATTTGTATATGGATCTTTGGTTATTCGGGTTTTCTCCCGCGTAAGATTCAAAGTATCTAGGCAACGTTTCGGCGAGGTCCCACTCGCCATCTTCAGGCTGGTGCTTTCGGCTTAGTGGAATAAATAGACATGGCAATAGTTAATACAGAAGTAGTTAGAGTGAAATGTAAGACATTAGCCAAGAAATAAGACCTATAGTAAATAAGACAAAGATGTAGAGGGAAACCAAGCAAAAATCCAACTAGTAATCATTCAAAAGCACCTATAACACTGCCCTGCATATCAAAATTTGGGGTAGATTGGCTCATTTCTATTTGTCTTTTGCTTTTGCATCTGTCAGATTTTCTATTAGGTTGCTTGTTATTGATTGTGAGAGGCCCACAGAAACCTTAGCATTTCACAGCCAGATTTCACTTTGTGATATTTATTTGATTCTTTATCTGAATTCCAAGATCAACCACCTGAAGCTTGAGACAAAATGCACACTTTTACAATAGAAAGATTCGAGCCCAGAAGTCTGAATTGAAATCTTTCCCATCTCAAAACGGTTCTATTAATCTTTTATTTTTGATGGAGGAATAAAAAGCCATTTTATTTTTGTTGTTTTAACATTTGGGTGTCAGAAATTTTTGATCATATATTTAATTTTATCCCTATACGTATCTTCAAAACTCATTGAAGTGGAGCTCAGTTCCTAATGGTCATGTCCATCTAGTTTGCTTTGGTTATAAGGTGAAAGTACATTTGCATTCATGTTGATTTTAACTTTTCAGTTGCTAGAATTCTACAGCTGTGAAATTTCCTGGTGGATTCTATCTAGGTATTATATAATCCCATTAAGATTTTTGAAATCAGCCAAGGTTGGATGGAGCTGACATGTGCTGAGCACTGCTGCTTTAGATACAATATTATATTATCTTTGGCCACGTTAAAATAATTAAAGTCAAGTTTCAGCATCGTGCTGTCAAAAGGTTGCTAATATTTCCATATCTTAACCCACCTGTACAGAAGGTAAGTCTGGAAGTCTTCTGCTTTCTTCAGCAAATATTTCAATTTTTCAGTTATTGGAGCAAGCAACTTTTCTAAAGTGATGTTCATTTCTGGTGGAGTATCAGGATGTGGTTGAGCATTGCTCAGCCAGTGAGATTCTGCAATTGGAGGAGATATAAGACATAGTCCTGGACTATGAGGACTGAGACTCGGGGTGCCTTCAGGGCTAGATATTGGAATATCCAGAGAGCCATCTGAGAGACAACTGTACCCTTGCTTACTGGCCATCTTCAATGACCTGCTTCAGGCAATCTGCCAAGAAAAAGATAAGGAACTAAACATCTAGATAGCTTAAGTATCTCCAGAGCACTACCAAATAAAAATGGAAATCTCAAAATAACAGCTTTACCTTCCCATGCCCCTTTTGTTACTGAAGTATATTGATTAGTATTATGAACATGAGTTTGATGTTCACTGAATGACCATTGACACCTGTAATATCAATGTAGCCTGTCACACAATGTGTGAATAAAATTGGGAGAGTATTGACATAGCAAATTCCTTAAAGAATAGGTGGGTACAAATGTTTTAATGTAGTTGATGCAAATTATTATTATGCAATTTTTTCAAAATATATGTGTAGACCGGATGAGCAATGCATTGGCCTAGAGGCGAAGACTCTCGCCTTCTACTTGGAAGATTGAGAGTTCAGTCCTAGATAGTTCAGTCCTAGGTAGTGACAGATATTTCCCTATCAGGGCACAAAGAGAATATATCCGCTGTGAATTCCGCATAGGTGTCAGGAAGGTCAATCAGCCAATAAACGCTCAGCTCCATTCAGTTGCCCTGACTCCACCCCAAATCAAAGGATTACATGGTTGTAAAAAGAAAAAAATGAGTACACCAGCCAACTGAAAAAGAAAAAAGAGCATTGAAAGAATATCTGAAGGATGTGAAGAAGATGCATTACACCTATTATATCATGAAGACTTGCTGGGTACTGGAGAGATTAAACTGGCCTACAAGACCAACCAAATGAAATTAGAAAAAAGACATGCCAAGGCAAAATATTAAATGACGAGTACATTAAAAAATAGGCAAAGTAGATAGATCTGGCAGTGGCTAAGAGTATGGAAATGAAAAAAGTGACAGAAGAGCTAATTCTGGCAGCAGTAGGCCAAGCCTTAATAACAAATAAATACAAAACTAGAATTGAGATATAGCAACAGACAGCAAATGCCACTTCTGCAAAGAAACAGTGGACCACCTAGTTCGCTGCTGCAAGAAGATTGCACAGACTGACTATAAAAACAGCACGACAAAGTAGCAATAATGGTGCATTAGAATAACTACAAGAAATACCATTTGCCTGTAAGCAAGAACTGGTGAGGTCAAAGTAAGGAAGAAGCTAAAATGTTCTCTGACTTCAGAATTCAGATAGACAAGCATCTGCCATATAACACCCCAGACTTAACTTTTGGTAAGAAAGAAAAAAGTCTGGACTGTGGATATTACAGTATTTGGAGAAGACAGAATAAAAGAGAAAGAAGTAGAGACAATCATAAAATGCAAAGACCTGAAAACATATGTAGAATAACTGGCAAAAGAAACAAGATAATACCAATAGTAATAGGTGCCTTAGGTACAATCTCAAAACATCTGCCACTTGAATACCAACAACACTGACAAAATCACCATCAATCAATTGCAAAAGGCAGCTTTACTTGGAACAGTTTACATCCTGATGATAACCTTTAATGCCATCAAACGAAAATCCCAATCTATTCTAGGATTAGTTCTTGGGAAGTACTCAATAAGTGGATAAAAATGCCAAAACATCTAATGCCAAAATTAAACATAAAGCATGTTTAAACATTTGTTTAAACAACACTGTAACCAAACAACAATAACAACTCAAACTAATTACAATAAGATTTAACTCTAGACAGGATTTGCAAAGTGGATTGTAATACATATGAAATTAAGCTGTAATACATATGTGGTTTTGGGCTACTGTAGAGCATCCAACAGGTGAGGCACTCCAGTATTTTGCAAATCACAGACCCACAATTAGGACAATATGAAGATAAGAAGACAACAAGCTTCGGTGGAAGCGTGGATGGCAAATTCAAGTAGAAGTAACATTTGACTCACAACTGATCATTTAGTGACCTTTTGAAGTTGCAACGGAACTGAAAAAAAGTGACTTATAACCATTTTTCACACAACCATTGCAGCTTCCCCATGGTCATGTGATCAAAGTTCAAATTATTGGCAACTGTTTCATATGACAGTTGCAGTGCCCTGGGATCATGTGATCACCTTCTGACAAGCAAAGTCAATAGGGAAGCCAGATTCACTTAACAACCGTGTTATTAACTTAACAACTGCAGGGATTCACTAAACATCTGTGGCAAGAAAGATCATAAACAGGGCCAAAGCTCACTTAACAAATGTCTCACTTAGCAACATAAATTTTGGGTTCAGCTGTTGTCATAAGTAAAGGACTACCTGTAATACTGTTGCTTATTATGTGACAGAATTAAAGTTCCTAATAAGCCTTGAAATAAAAGTAAAGTTTGATTTGGCAAAGATATGTATAATAGTGTTTTATTTTCAAAGTGATAAACACTAGTTTATTTAAACTTTGCTCTCTCAGGAAATTATAATTCAATATCTTCAAGATAGTACATACAGACAGGAATACATGAAGGCGGAAAAAAGTAGTCCTGGGCAACAGGTTCAGCAAGATTTGTACCATTTGGAAACCAAACTTTGAAAAATAACAAAATTTACTACGTTACATCAGTAACCAATTTTCTTCCTTGTATTGCTTTGTTCGCTCATATTTAAAAACAGTAAGATATCGCCCCAATGGGAACCATAGATAACCAAGATAAAATCTTCAACATAATTCAGAGGATCTAAACTGTGGAACAAGGGAGATGTCACTGTGAAGAGATCTTTGGGGAAAAACAGAGACCCACGTAGGTTTGACAGAAGAGCAATCCATGGACTGTTACAGTTGGAACACTGATGCTCAGTCTTGGCAGGGTTGGACTTTTCTAGAAGTCAGTGACTGTTAAGGTTTAAACAGAGAATCATAACGGTTCCTTCCCAGCCAATAGATTTTGCCTTGACCACGTGTTCTGTCCAGTAGGAAAGGTTTTTACCTCCTCTGTTCCAAATAATTAGGGGCTAATACCTGAATAGATATTCAGATAGCCCTAGAAAATTTGCTATGCCTGATTTGTGCGGTGTGTATCACATCAGGACTAGATTCAGCAGTCCACATGCATTTAAAAGACACGGGCCATTCTTTTGAAGACAACAAAGTCCATATTTTGGACAAAGAGGACTACTGGTTTGTTAAAGAGACCATCTATGCCAAGATTGAGTAGCCCTCTCTCAATAGAGGGGGAGGGATACAACATCACCCATCTTCAATCTACAACACAGTCCTTTCAACAGTTCCAAAAAGCTCCACACCAATTTGTACCACTCAGATAACCCTGATGACAGATAAACCTCCAAGTGACTTAACGACTCACTAAAAGAAGTATAAGTCCTTCCATTCCCCCACCACCCAGTCAGAGTTGAAGAAGCTTCTTGGGTGAGAAGCTAAATCAAGGAAAAAAAACAGAAAGTCCAGTTGCCACTTGAAAACAAGCAGCTTTGCGACAACCATGACCTGTATGACTGAGAATTTCCATAGACATTTGGTGTGTATCAGAGTTTTTGTACCTGTGTTGCAAACCTATTTCTCTGGTCCACTGGCCCTTTAAATTGATACATCCAATCGTATTCCAATTATCTTCTTATGTAACAGATGAAGTTAACAGACTGAGAAAAATCATTTGTCAAGGTCTTCCACAAAATCTGAGAAATAAAGATGGACTTTGTCTTACTCTATAAATTCTCAAGGCATAATCTTAAGTAGGTATAAAGCAGTGAAGTGCTTTATACTAATGTTGAATTTGTTTTTGAAATGTACCAGAAGCAGCAGCAGAACATTTTAGAAGAAGGACATTAAAATATGCCTAGGGAGGAATTAGGGGGGGGGGGGGTTTAAGTGCCATTGCTTATTCATGCTCTACGTACAGGTGAAACTCGAAAAATTAGAATATCATGCAAAAGTTCATTTATTTCAGTAATGCAACTTAAAAGGTGAAACTAATATATGAGATAGACTCATTACATGCAAAGCAAGATAGTTCAAGCCGTGATTTGTCATGATTGTGATGATGATGGCTTACAGCTCATGAAAACCCCAAATCCACAATATCAGAAAATTAGAATATTACATGCAATCAATAAAACAAGGATTGTGCATAGAACAATATTGGACCTCTGAAAAGTATAAGCATGCATATGTACTCAGTACTTGGTTTGGGCCCCTTTTGCAGCAATTACTGCCTCAATGCAGCGTGGCATGGAACCTATCAGCCTGTGGCACGGCTGAGGTGTTATGGAAGACCAGGATGCTTCAAGTGGCCTTCAGCTCTTCTGCATTGTTCGGTCTCATGTCTCTCATCTTTCTCTTGGCAATGCCCCACAGATTCTCTATGGGGTTCAGGTCAGGCGAGTTTGCTGGCCAATCAAGCACAGTAATCCCACAGTCATTGAACCAGGTTTTGGTGCTTTTGGCAGGTGCCAAGTCCTGCTGGAAAATGAAGTCAGCATCCCCATAAAGCTCATCTGCAGAAGGAAGCATGAAGTGCTCCAAAATCTCCTGGTAGACAGCTGCATTGACTCTGGACTTAATGAAGTACAGTGGACCAACACCAGCAGATGACATGGTTCCCCAAATCAACACAGATTGTGGAAACTTCACACTGGACTTCAAGCATCTTGCAGTGTATGCCTCTCCATTCTTTCTCCAGACTCTGGGTCCTTGGTTTCCAAATGAGATGCAAAAGTTGCTCTCATCAGAAAAGAGGACTTTGGACCACTGAGTAACAGACCAGTTCTGTTTTTCTTTAGCCCAGGTAAGACACTTCTGACGTTGTTTGTTGTTCAGGAGCAGCTTGACAAGAGGAATACGTCATTTGAAGCCCATGTCCAGGATCCGTCTGTGTGTGGTGGCTCTTGATGCACTGACTCCAGCCTCAGTCTACTCCATGTGAAAGTCCCCAACACTTCTCAATGGCCTTTTCCTGACAATCCTCTCCAGGCTGCGGTCATCCCTGCTGCTTGTGCACCTTTTTCTTCCACACTTTTCCCTTCCACATAACTTTCTATTAATGTGCTTTGATACAGCACTTTGGGAACATCCAACTTCTTTTGCA